TTATGATTCATAACAGTAGCAAAATTACAGTTATGAAGCAGCAACAAAAATAATTTTATGGTTGGGGGTCACCACAACACGAGGAACTGTATTAAAGGGTTGCGGCATTAGGAAGGTTGAGAACCACTGTGGGGGAGGAGGAGGCATGGTGGAAGGGCTCTAGTGTGCAAATATGGAAGTCAGACTTTATTTTGAATTCATTGAACAATAAAGCTGACTTGATGAGGTCTGTATTATAAAACAATTTTTAAACAAATAAAGATAGCTTCCACCAGTGCTGCTGAGCATTTTATAGGAAAGAAGAAGTGAGATCAGCAAATGCAGGTAGGAGCTGCTATTGCAGCGATGAAAGAAAATGAATTCTTCTTGAGAATAGCCATGCTCACTCCAAGAGACCCATTGCAAACTGGGGCATCTTAGTAATGTTCACTCAATATGTCTCCTTATAAATCACTTTTTAATTTTTCCTGCTATTAATAGTTAATGTTTATGGGGAACATAAATTGTGCTAGTTGCTATGCATTTTAAGCTGTCCATGTTTCTGAGTTCTTATCACTGAAATTTAATGGAGGGCTGAGAAATGTGAGTGTAGGTGCTTTAGTAGGGAAAAAGGAAAAGAAAGTAATATCATGAGATAGACAAAGAGAGGAAATATTCCTTCTAGTTACTCTACTGGACATTGTGGTGGTTTAAGAAGGTCTACTTGGCTGCATTGGAATGTCTTTATTCAGGAGGTGCACAAAGTACCTAAGGGCCTTGAGAGCAGGGAATATGTGGAACATTTTATACCTTTTTCCTATCCTCTTTCCCAACACCTACCCTGGTGCTCACACCTACTGGTTGTGCTAAGGAATGTTTGTTGGAATGTACTGGAAGGTGATTGTGTGTAGTCAGTTAAGCTTCTATTTATTTTTAGAACTTTTATGTTCCTTCACCTGGCAGAGGGACTGTCAGATTGGAAGCATACAATAAAAACTGTTGAATGAGAGAGGATGTAATAGCCAAGGAGAATACAAATCCTATATAATAAAAGCCTAATATGCAAATCGACCGGTGGAATGACTGGTTGCTCTGATGTGCACTGCCCACCAGGGGGCAGATGCTCAATGCAGGAGCTGCCCCCAGCCTGCAGGCCCCAGGCCAGCCAAGGCAGGTGCCAGTGGGGGCCCCTGATTGCCCTGCTGGTCGCCCTACAGATCAGCTCTGATCACTGGCCAGGCCTAGGGACCCTACTCGTGCAAAAATTTCATGCACCGGGCCTCTAGTTCAGAAATAAAATTTCCGAAGGTCAGCACTGTCTGCTGCTGTTATAGCGCAAGGAGAGGAAGTGGAACTTCCTTTAGTAGGGACAATGGGTCATGCTATGAGAGAGGAGAGGAAGACCAAGAGAGCCAGGTGGTCAAGAGCTGACATGGATCAGACCACAGAGCAGCATAGACAATTCTAAAGGAGCCCAGATGGTCTACATCCAGAGGTTTAGAAGCTGTGGAGAAGCTCTGGTCAAGGAAAGCAATCAGGGATGGGCCTGGGTTTCTGGTTTGGAGTAGTAGGAAGGGAGGAAGTGGTCCTTGTGGAAAGAGGCCGTTTTCTAGGGCTGAGTGAGTTTGGCATTCTGAAGTTCTAACTAATGGGCCCCAATATCCCTGTTATCCAGTCCTAAGAAAGAAGTATTTCATGATTCATGTTTTCAGCATAAATCATTGTTACCTAGAACTGCGTATCCTCCTTCTGTTGAAAAGTATGTTCCCGTTTCCATTGGACCTTCAAAACAAGGAGTCACGCTAAATGTCTGAGAAGCAGAGGTGATGGAGGCCCCATTGAGCTGGAGATTGCTGAGACAGCCACTGAAACTGTAGACTGAGTTTATCTAAGGGAAGAAGACATTTCTTAAAATCCATTTTCTCAACACTCACAGATGCACCAAAGGGAATAAAAGTGAAGGAATTTGAGTCTCGAGAGAAACCAAGTAATTCCTGATTTATCTTAGCTATCTGAATGATAAATAGTTTCCAGGTAGTTGCTTTTTAACTAGTTCTTTCAAGCTGGAATTTTCCTTGATAATGTCAGCCTACTGTAATTAAGTATGAAAATGTTTACGTATACCATGAACAAATAAATTGTAGTTGTGATTTTCAAAGTAAATATTAGAAATATCCTAGTTTGTTTTTCTTCAAGAATGATAGCTGTGTCCAAGATCATCTAACACTGATCAGGGCTAGCAACGTTCTTGTTAAATTTACTATGGCTAAATAAACATCAGAAAGCTCAAATTTCTGGCTCCATTGGCTGTCTTTGTGGTTGAATATTTATCATACCACAGGACATGATAACTGCTTTTGAAATCTTTTAAAGAGGTGGTCATAAAATGGGACTACTTGCCTAATATTTAATTAAACACAAACCCCTCCTCCGTTTTCGTGTTATCCCATATGTAATGAATTTTAGAAATGTATTAACTGTGTTAAAATCAAATCTATATTTATATATGAAAATTTAGTCCTTTAATGCAGTCCCTTTATTATAAAATTGTTTTTTAAAAGTATAATATTTTAAACTTTTAAATTATAAAAATAACATGTTTCTTACTATGCCCTCACTTCTCTCAGGGTAACCATATTTCCTTGCACATTTACAAATTGTGTGTGTGTGTGTGCACGTGTGTTAAGAAACAAAAATGGGATCATGGTTTACATAATTGCCTGAAAGGTTTTTTTTCACTCAAAAATACATAATCAAATGACTTCCTTTTTTTTTTTTTAACCTAAAGATATGGGTACTTGCTGGATAAATAAGAATCTTCTGAAAACATAAATTTTCATGATAATTTATACCTCTGAAACTTTTTTCATCTCACCTTTACCTAGAATTAAAAGATCACTTCTGACTTTGTAATGCCAGAGGTTGTACAACACTCACTCATCTCCAGCCAAACTACCGTTTCACTCTGGCCAGTTTCCTAATCATAGAAGCGGGGCTGGAGTAAATGATCTTCCGGCTCTAAAGGTCAACGACTCGCCCTAGTCACAACCTGGCTTACCTGGACATTTTTCACAGCTCTCCCAGGAGCGACACCTCCCAAATACATGGGACCTTTGATTTTCCAGGCAGCTCTCGTAGGAGGGAGACTCTCTTCTAAGACTCGAAGACCATCAATTACCAGTCGGCCGCTGCTCTTTTCCCGAATAAATATCACCTGGATGGAGAGAAGGTAAATAGCGCATCTCAAGTACATCCCTGGATGAGGGGAAAGACCATGTTGCCTCCCCTCCCAACTTTACTATTTCAATACTGTGGGAAATCTGCAGAAATCCTTTGGAAAAAGGGTCCTTCTCCAAAGGTCAGGAGTTTGTCTATTGCTTTGAGGCTTGATTCAAAGTTACAGGCTTAACTTCTGAATGTAGCATATATTTGGCAGAGTTCTCTATCAAGCTCTTCCAGCTGGCCAGCCTACTTGCTGTCTCCTTAATCTCCTGTAATTTGCTTTAAGGCAGCTTACATTGCTTACTCTTTCCATTATATACACACTGACTTGCTTCAGTACTCGGTAGTTCTCCCTGTTATGTCCTATCTTCCTAACAGATACACTCCTCACTTTGTATCTTCCACAGCTTAGTCCAGGAAAGACATTCAGCAATTGTTGTTGAAAATCTAGAATATTAAGGCAGTAGGAAAAACACAAGTGAAAAATCCTTAGACACCACACTTCAGTTTATGTTGGCCATTGATTCTTTGGTTAAAATAATTGCATTAAAATTGATTGGTCAAAAAATTATACTCAGACTGTATCTCTTTTAAAAGAGTGTGCTTCAGGATTTGTATAAGAAATTAATACAAGTTTTTGAAATTGAACTCTGAGCTTATGGAAACAAGTTTAAAATAGAAGCTTCTAGAGAAACCAATAGTGGGGCATTAGTGCCAGTCCATTTGCCAGTGGTGAATATTTGCTGAGAATAATATTCTCTGCCTTCAACTTACATCATGCCATAATCCATCATTGTATTTCTCTTGGCTCCTAATCTTCAGTTTCTTGTGGCCAACGTTAAACATGAAAACCAAGCGGCCGTGGGCTAAGAATAGAGTCATGAAGTCATTTTCTTCCTGATCTGAGACATAGAAAATCATCCCATGGGAGGAGCGAGTTTTCAGACGAATGGAAAACTGAGATCTGGCGAATGAAAAGAAAAAGGTTGCCACGTGTGAAATGAGACTGAGGGTGATCTCTAACTTCCCAAAGCAATACCCAGTATCGGAGAATAAGTAAGTAGCCATTCTCTGTACTCCCAAGCAGCGCTTCTTCTAATAATCCTTTAGCATTATTAATGAAGTATGGATAAGCACTGCTAGTGCAAAAATGTAAATCCTTCTCCATTTCCTTATACAACAGGAATACATTCCACATTTAAGGAAGTGTTGTTTCAACTAAAGATCATGTCATATCTTGCTTTAAAAATGTGGTTGCAATTAGTTTAGCAAAAATCTATGTTGAGGAAGCTTATCCATGTAGACAAAATACTAGTGATTGATTAATATGTATATGGGCATATAAACAATATGATTTGTATACTATCTAAAATACAGATGCAATTTTTCCACAGTAAAAATTAATCAATGAATATCACATATTAAACATGGCCACCAAAGTGTGTAGAAATTAAAACTTTCTATAACTTTAGCTCCAGGCCATAGATAAAATACATTTACTAGGCTAACTTCCACATTCTTCCTGAAGGATACAAAATACTGATTTCGCCTATTAGGCAAATAGCAAATTAGAAGTTATTAGACATTTCTTATTGAATGTACTGCCTGTCTAAGCAAAAGAGCTATATAAGACCTATATAAGAATATTTTGGTGCTAACATTTTATTTTTTAAAATATTTTTATTGATTTCAGAGAGGAAGGAAGAGGGAGAGAGAGATAGAAACTTCAGTGATGAGAGAGAATCACTGATTGGCTGCTTCCTGCATTTTCCTTACTGAGGATTGAGCCTGAAACCTGGGCATTTGCCCTGACCAGGAATGGAACTGTGACCTCTTGGTTGATAGGTCGATACTCAACCACTGAGTCACACTGGCCTGGTTTGGGTGCTAACATTTAAAAAGGAATCTTTAATAATACTAAATAGCCTGAAGATTTGTGAAATACCAGGAAGAAATGAGGAGCTTCAGTGATAGCTTGAGGGCCAATAGAGATGATCATCTTTTTCTTATTATCTTCCCTTTTGGTGCCACGTAAATCATATTTTTTGACATCAAAATAAATACTAAATAGTGCATGATTTATACTTTCCAATAAATTACATTCTTTGTGACGTTCTTCCCCAAAGTAAGGTGCATGAAACAGCATTATCCTAGGAATTTGCTGTGTCTTATCAAAAAGAAAAGACAATCAAAGAGAGAAAGTTGGGGCAAATTTCAAGGACTCATCTAACCTTGATATCACCTTTT